CCTTGGAAAATATTTTTTTTACTTTTAGATGTATATTTTTTAATCTAAGTTAGTTTAATTTTACTTTAGGTTTGTATAGTAAAAATTTGGAAACTCTATATTTATTTAAAATTACATTAGATATTCAGTCTAAAATTACATAGAATGAAAAATATAAATTACAGAAATGGAAAGTATATGAATCAATATAATCACAATTATATTATATGATTTGGTGAATATTTGTGTATAGCTTATAGTAGGTAATTAATGGCATTGGCTAAAAAAAAAGGGAAAAAAGAGGAGGGGATTTTGGAGGGGAAAAACAGCACTAGAAAATGCCGCGTGTCATTTCTGGTGTCTGTTTTAGTATTATATATTGATTGATTGATATTGATTGCATGTGATCACAAACTCATAATTATGTCTAGAGGGATTTGTGACTTAGATCGTTACTATGCTCTCAGCTCTTATTTTTTGTCTTCTTGTCATTATTTTATGGAAAAATTGTAAATAATAACCACCACTCAAATCACCTAAAATTGATTTTACCAACCTTTTTTTTAAAAAAAAATACCCATCCCTTGAAGTAAAAAAAATTAAAAATTAAAAAAATAGAAATCACCACCTCTTAACTAAAAAATATTGATTTTCGTGTCAAAACTTGGTCTATTAAGGTTTTGGGGGTCACTTTGGCTCTTTAGATCCGATTTGAGGTCTAAACACCCAAAAAAGTATCGAAAATACCTCATTTAGTGAATTTCACGCAAATCAAGGTGATTTTCAACATGCAAAACGAGGCATTTTCACTAAATTTTTTTTCATTTGTAACCTCAAATTGAAACCAAAGGAACAAAGTGACTCCCAAAACCTTAGTAGGCCATATTTTGGCACAAAAATCATTCTTTTTATAAAATTGGAACTACATGTAAAGAGGTGGTGATTTCTATTTTTTTTTTTTACTTTAAAGGGTGGTTATTTAAAATAAACAAAAAAGGGGTGGTAAAATCAATTTTTGGTGCTTTGAGGGGTGGTTATTTACAATTTTTCCTTATTTTATTTCAAGTATGAAGTAACAAAACCACTAAACTAATGCTAATATCATCTAAATTTTATTAAACTATAAAGTTAATTAGAATATCTATTATCTACACTTACTTAGTATATAATAGCACAAACCACAAATGACGTGTCCCCTTTCCCTTTCTCAACTTTTTATACTTATATATTTTTTTTAAAAAAACATAATGTTATTAGTAATTCACTGTATGTATTTAATGTTTACAAACAAATACTATTTATAGATTCATTTCAATTGTCACTCCTTCTTCTTCCTTTTAAACTCTTCATTTTTCTTAAGAAAAACATTTAATAAAGTAAAATAAAATAACAAAAAACTTTTTCTAATTTTACTACTAATATTGATAGCCCTTGCATCGCACAGGCAAAAATGCTAGTTTAACATCATGTCTTTTCATTATAGCTTAATTTATCTAATGAGAGGAATCACAATTTATACTGTTTTGCTTACATCATTTATATTACACACATACAAGTAAAATTTTTATTGTTAAAATCATGCATTGCACCAGACCAGCCTACTATTTCCTTTGTTTTCTTTTAAATGCAACACTTCTCATTATACACTTGCCAATGCATCATTTAAATCATTAAATCTTTATTACTAATATGTAAAAATTACAAAGATTTTATATCAATAATAAATTATAAACCGAGGATGAATTTAACAAGATCCCACATGATTATAATATTTTTTTTAATTATAAATCATCACAGCTAGTCAAAATAAGGATGTAAATAGTGCAAAAATTAAAGTATTATATTTAAAAGAAAATGAGGAAAATATATTATCAATAATTAAGATAAATTATGTACTACTCCGTATTAGGCTAGTTTTTTTGGTAGGTAAGATGAAGGCCCAAACTTACTATTAGGAAATTTATCTTCCTTATTTGAAGTATTTGGAAAGAGCGTAACTCTATAATTTTCCGCCAAGAACATTTTGATATCTCTAGAATTTACCATCGAGCGCAATTTGCGTTCAATGAGTGGCACTACAGAATTCTCACCGATACATTTTCTTCCTCGGGGTCTCCGTTTAGGAGATCCCCACCTACTCCTCCTTCTCATTCTCCAACAAACTCTATCATGGGAGGCGCCACCAACAAATTCTTACAAACTCAATTTTGACGGTTCAGTACTCAACAGCAGCAAAGAACCTCATCAGAGACAATAGTGGGACAATTGTAGGAGCTCACGCTTTCAACCTCGGCACCACCAAGGTTTTCATAACAGAGGTCATGGCTCTTCGTTAAGGAATTCTTCTAGCTCTTGAGCATGGGATCAAAAATATTCTAATTGAGGGTGATAATCCTTTAGTAATTAACTTTGTTAAAGGCATCTGGTCCACACCATGGCAAATTGATCATATTGTTAAAGGCATTTGTTTTCTTCTTGGAAAATTCGATAATTAAGTATTTGCCATATCTTTCGAGAGGCAAATCAAGCAGCAAACTGGATAGCAAATGTTGGTCACCTAGTTAGTGATAGTATGGATATTATGCCTTGTAACAATTCTTCTCTATTTTCCATCGTTTCTTCCGACGCATTAGGAATTTCCCTCGTGAGGAGGGTTCCTAATGTTTTCTTTTTTCTTACCAGTCACGAAGCCAGTTCCGGCTTGCTCCGCACAGACTACACAAGCCTTGCTCAAACGAATCAAAGAATTTCCATTGTAAAAAAAAAATAAAAAGAAAAAAAAAAGAAAAGATGAAGGCCCAAACTACGTATTTGGCTAGTTGCTACTTCCACATTCAGCTCTTTAATAGTCACCAAAAAAAAAAAAAAATATAAAAAAAAAAAAAATTAAATAAAAAATTGGACCCCCGACAACTCCTAGTTTATTCTTGTGGATAAAAAACGTTATACACGTGATTGGCGTTGTGGGCTTTGTATCTACTCCATGGTGCAATTTCCTTATTTGGCCCATCTGACGTACACCCCTTATTTTTGGTGCTTATAGTACTAGCAAGATGTGTCAACTCTTATAAATGGTCGGATTTATTGAGGTCGGATAATTTGAGTCATGCAGTTATGTTAAGTTATTATGTCTATATATGTCGAAATTTGAATCGGATTTTGTTCAGGTCGGGTTGGTAGGGTCACTTTTTACAATCCTAAATGTAAATTAATTTGTTTTAAAAGATTGCCCTATAACCCTATCTGTATCTCCATCTCCCTTCATCAACTATTATTTCAATCCATATGCACAAATTTAACTTTGTAACTAAAAAAAAATAGAATCAAGTATTTAGGGCAATATTTAAGAGACAAGTGAAGTAGCTTCTATAGCCCCTTAATACTCTGTACTTTTTTTAGTTTTTTAATTATTTTTTTTTTCCGTGATGTCTTGCACAAATCAATCATGTCCAACAATAGTTTAATTTATTTAATTAAAATTCTTTTTGTATAATCAAGAAGTCAAACACTGTTTTTTTTTTTTAGATCAAAAATCAATTCACACTCACTTAACTGACATTTTCTAAGGAACGCAACTTTTCCCCTTTCTTATTCCTATTCACACACACTAGTACACTACTACAGTCTTACTATTCGTATACAACAAAACAAAACTTGCCGTTATTTTGATTGAATCTTTCTATGTCATATAGGATGTGGTCGGTTGTTGTTCTTGTGTTTTTTTTTGTGGCATTGTTGCAAGTAAGATCTTATTCTGCTCATTCTCATTTTCAATTATTTCAGATTGAAAAAAATTTAAGAATTATTTTCAGTAAATAATTTTTTTTGATACAGTAAGCTCTTAAAAAGAAAAGTAGTAAAATTAATACTTGCTCCGGTTTTTTTAGATGCATCACTTTTTATATTTGGAAGTTTTAATTTAGATTCATCACTTTTCTTTTTGGTTAATACATTCTCTCTATCTCTTTCATATTACATCGATCTACTTTTTTCTTTCTCTCTATCTCTTCCCTCTCCAAAAATTACCTAGGAGTCCATGAATTTAAAAGTGATGCATCTAATAAAAATCGGAGGAAGTAAGTAAAAAATTAGGTGGATAAAAGTCATAAAACACACCATAAGAACTACGAAGTAGCTTTTACAAGTATTTTTTTTACTTTTTGTTTGATACACTTTGTTTTTTTTACACAATTTCAACGCGCATATTTGAGCATCAATATGTTCAACTACACATTAAAATTGTAGAAAGTTAAAAATATTAAATATACACCCACAAATTTAACGAGAACTAGTTCTTTGCTCGAGCAACGCTCGGAAATTAGATTCACCAGAAAAAAAAAATATTTTTATAAATTACTACACGTTTGTATTTGTTTATAGATTGTGTATACATTTAAATATATCTAATTATATTATCAAATTATGATGATAGATGAGATACGTTAATGGAGAGTATCTCTATTTTGTAATTTGTGTACAAGTTATGAATTTCATATTGAGTTAAAAATATTTTTAGTAGGAAACGAAAAATACATTTTATATATTAACGATCAAAGATTCAAGAGAATGTACATTTTATAGATTGACGATTAAAAAAATATTTGATTTATTTAAAGTTGTTATTGGTCTAATTTTTTGGGTTATTTAGGCTACATATTTTTTTAATCAATTATCTTATTATTTTTAAGGGGAAAAAAAAATTGGTGGGAAATTTTTTGTTGTGAATGCGACACGTGTATTTTTGGGATAATTCTGGTAATTATTTTAGTATATAGTATTGATTGATTGACTAGTATTGATAATTTCTTGTTAATATACTTCTTGTTAGCAAATATTCTCATCACTGTTTGATTTAAGAGTGCAAAAAAGATTTGGAATTTAATTTCTCATGTTTGTTTCATACAAAAGACGATATACAGGTTATTTTCATTTTGCATGTAGGGTACAACTGTACAAGCTTATAAAAGCTAAGACATATACGTACTCGTACTAGGTTGTTATAACACACCAAAAAAAAAAAAAAAATGATCTCTACTTTCTTTAATAGCATCCAATTTCCTTTCATCATCATATTCTTCTTAATTGTTGGCTTGTCAAATGGTGAAGCCGTAAACTATAAAACATGCTCAGCTCCATTCTCTTGCGGGCAAATTAAAAACGTCCCGTACCCGTTTTGGGGAGGGAATCGTCCTCAAATTTGTGGGATCCCAAACTTTGGGTTCAATTGTGGTTGCGATGTGAAAAAAAATTATCCCACTATGAATTTTGCTCATAACGGATATACTATGTTGAGCGTACTTAATATTGATACGTCTACAAACACCATGTTAGTTTCCCTAGATAATTTGATTAAAAAATGTTATTTGTTCAATACGAACAAGGTATCATTGCTTCCCAATTTAAAGCCAGCCAAAAATTACAAGATAACATACTTGTACTATGGTTGCGCTAGTTGCGTCTCTAGGTACCGCCCTTACTACTCTTTTAATTGCTCCAACGATGAAGACGGTACCCTTAGTAGTGTTTATTACTTTGGAGGCCCTTCAGCGCCTTCAGTGTCATCAGACACGGGTAAATCGTTGTCCTCGTGCTTGTGCAGCAACAAGATTTATGTTGCGGTAAGCGAGAGAGGGTTAGACGAGCTTAGAAGCACAAATGCCACTCTTCGAAGTATTTTAACCACGCCCATTAAGATGGAGTACATGGCCAACTTCACTGCTTGTTCTAAGTGCGAAGAGTCTGGTGGCAGATGTGGTTCATATCCTTCTTCGGATGAGTTTGTGTGTTACTGCCGAGATGGTCCTTGGTCGTTAGCATGTTCTCAATCAGGTACGTGCATATTTGCCTACTCCTTCTGTTTTAAAATAAATGTGACTGTTGCACTATTTACATACAGCGATTTAACCAATGGGAGACTAATTATAAGTTAAACTAAAGACATTTTTATCTACGTTACATATCAATTTAACCAAACTCTACTCTTATGTGTGCAGGTGGACGAAAAAAATCTACTGCCAATAAATATGGTTAGTGCTCCTTTCTTCTGAACTCATACAAGTCATACTTGACATCTCGATCATTGATGACCATCAACCTTTATGTAATTTCTTCAAGTAATTTTTCACCATCAAAACAATGCCAAAGGGAATGTGACATACAAATGGTACATAATATGTGGTTTGGACCTATGGAGTAATTTATAAATTCCTCTTTATTATTCAGTGTTTTTGGCTTTTGCAAATTGCATCTGTACTTTGTATAATGTTAATAAATTAAAGCAAAAAAAACCTAATTTGGGCAAATGTAGTAAGTGACCTTAGTGATTGCACCTTCCAACCTTAAGATTGGGGGTTTAATTTTCGTTAGAGACACTTTAAGGATGAGAATCCTTTATCTTTCTCTCCCACTTTTAAAGTGTCTGGCGCGCAAATATTGGACCAAAAATCGTGAGGGTTGAGATCTGATCAGGGTCCTCTTTATCTTTTTTTTTTTTTTTTAAAAAAAAAAGGTACTCCGTAGTGACCTTAGTGTAGTTCATTGTGACTACAATAAGTACGAGCTTATTATGAGTTGCCTAGTGTACCGATTAGTGAGAGAAGCTAATTCAGTAGGATATTTCTTCTTTTAAAAAAAAAGTATACTACCCTTCGTTCTCGAAAGATTTTACCATTACTATTTGCACACAAATTAATGTAATTGGTGAAAGTGTTGATGTGGTGGGTGAGTGAGTGTAAGAAAATTGTGAAAAAAATTAAAATGCATGGGTAGGTGTAAGAAAGATTGTAATTAGAAAGATGGATAATGAAAGACAATTGGAAAAAGAATTCCATATAAGAAAATGAGTGGAAATATGTTTTGAAAAATAGAAAAATAAGTGTACAGAACTTTAGGAATGAACTAAAACGGAAAGCATAAAGAACTTGTAGAAACAAATATGGTGTTGTTTGGTTGACATGGGAACTGAGTTCCCATAGGAAATTATACTTCATGAAAAGTAATTTCCCTTGTCTATTTTCTCGGAATTACCTTAAGTTTGTTTGGTTGATAATGTAGGAACTTTGATTTCCTAAAGATTTATTTCCTATGTTTTGTTAGTTAATTTGACAATTTTTTATTTAAGGTAACAAATTTGGAGAGAGAAAGAAAGAGATTAAATTATTAGTGATAATAATGCAAGTAAGCCCTACAATAATCATGAGAATTGTGACTTATCAAGGGGGGCTTGGTAAGTGAATTCCCATGTTTCATGGGAATTGAAACTTCCCTTGAAATTTCCATTTCCCCCACTTTGATAAATTTGTGCCAACCAAAAAACACATGCTATATCCATTTTCTAGGAAATAGAATTTCCCATGCTTTTTACCTCCAACCAAACAACACCTATAATAATGCTCGGTATGCATTTGTCATGAGCCTGTAACGATACTCAAATTTTCTTTCATTTTAATTATTTTAACTTGCAACTTAACCCTTTGACACACAGTTTAACAAATATGGAGTAGATATTCAAAATCAAATTACATTCTCTAATCTTCTGCTCTATATTATTGTCATGGTGCAGGGGCTGGTGTAGCTGCTTTATTACTAGGAATAGTAATGCTGGTAATTTTTCTGTTCATTTGGAAAAGCAAAAAACGAAAAACAAATAAATATTCATTCCTATGGAGTAGAAAAGCAATTGGGGATCATAATATAGCAACCTTTTTAGAAAGCTATGGATCCTTAGCCCCAACAAGGTACACGTACGCAGATATACGAAAGATGACCAATTCATTCAAAGATAAACTTGGCGAAGGAGGTTATGGAAGTGTTTACAAAGGAAAATTATACGATGGTCGCGTTGTGGCGGTGAAGAAATTGAAGTATTCAAAGGGTGATGGAAAAGATTTCATCAATGAGGTATTGAGTATGAGTAGAACTAATCATGTCAATGTCGTCATTCTTTTAGGTTTTTGTTTCGAAGGAAACAATAGAGCTCTTGTAGTTGAGTTCTTAGCCAATGGATCTCTTGAAAAGTTTATGCACGGTAGAGAGATTGACGAACCATTGCAATGGGAAACCATGTTCAACATATCAATTGGAATCGCCAAGGGACTAGATTACCTACATAGAGGTTGCAATACGCGAATATTGCACTTTGACATTAAGCCTCACAATATTCTTCTTGATGAAGAATTCCGCTCAAAGATTTCTGACTTTGGGCTAGCCCGATTGTGTTCACAGAAGAATAGCATAATATCAATGTCGGAAGCTAGAGGGACCATTGGATACATTGCTCCTGAAGTTTTATGTAAATATTATGGCAATGTTTCCCATAAATCAGATGTTTATAGCTATGGGATGATGCTATTGGATCTAGTATGTGGTAGACAAATTGGCAACAATGAAACTCAAGGCAACAGTGAAATGTACTTTCCTGAATGGATATATAATCGACTTGAGCCTGTGGAAGACGTTTCAATTCACGGGGTTATAAATGGCGATAATGAGGTAGAGAGAAAGATGATTATAGTGAGCTTATGGTGCATACAATCGTATCCCGCCAATCGGCCATCTATGAATCGAGTTGTAGAAATGTTAGGAGTGTCGTTGGAGTCTTTACAAATACCTCCTAAGGCAAATTGTTCTTCCCCAACAACATTTGTGTTTGGTTCTTCGCCTATGGTAACCACTCGAGACAATTTTTGTTAACCATACATGTAAATTGATGCTAATGAATTATATTATTGAAAATTGAATTGCATAGTACACGAGGGCGGGTGTACCATGCTCATGGTATACCTGGTGTTAAATGATGCGTTTTTAACATTTTATTTGCAAGCTGTCAGTTTGTTATTTAAAAAAAAAAAAAAATACAATCTCTTTCATAATTCATGGGATTCAACATGATATTCTCCATTTTTACATAACTTCCAAAATTAAATTTCACCATATCTCAATTTCGAATTAAGATAGAGAACAAAGTTTATAGAGAATTTTGTAGAGAGAAAAATACATAGCAAATTATGAGGACATTGTAAACGATGGATCGGCGAAGGTAAGTTAATTTAATTTGTTATGATTTTAATTTCAGAATTTTGCTTATTAGGTTGATTATATTTCATTATTATTTTGCACGATTATTGTTTCGGGGTTTTCTGATGTCCTGCGGGAGAGTTACAATTCCGAGACTGGAACCGGACGCCTGTACCTGCAAAACAAACGGATGCTCCGGATGATTGGAGATCCGCCTCCGACGGTCAAGTTAGTACTTGAATAAGGAGTAATTAATGCGGAAATTAAAGTGATTGAGTCTCTCTAGGTGAGAGTGTTTAATGTGTGTAATCTGCGTTCTCTCCCTTAATGAGGATTAAGGGAGGTATTTATAACCTCGGGAAACGTGCCAATCTAGGTTTAGGTTAACCTTGGGCTGATTGGGCTTCCCTCGGAAGTTGGGCCTAGGTGACCGGCTTCTCCATTAGGCATGGAGTATGCCACGTGTCATGACATAATAAGTCCAGGGTGGATGAATAAGCGTGTGCCACGTGGCAAGCCCTGAGAGGTCCAACTGGAGGACACTTGGCAGGACCTGATTGGCCCACGTGGCGCATTCCGATTGGTGGGAGAAAAATCCCCTAATCATTTGCCCCTCACAGGTGGCACGTGACTGGTCACGTGTTACCTGTGACAGGTATCGCCCTGTAACAGGCGACGACCTGCTACAGGTGTCACTCGGCGAGAGGCCGAGAGATTCTCCCGCCAAAATTTTGAATTCTGGAAGTGACCCTTCGCCTTCTCACTTCGCCTATATAAAGGAGTGTTGACTTCGGTCATTTTCACACTTGAAAACTTTGTAAGAGAACAGTCGGACCCCTGAACTTGCTCTGACATTTTGGACCCTTTCTGCCTACCGCCTGCTCTGACCAGCCGACTGCAAAGGATTTTCAGAACTTCATCAATCGTCACTCGTTCAGGTAACCGTCGGTTCTCTTACTCTTAATTTTCTCTTTACTTTATTCTTTTTTTGAAATGGCACCACGGAAGCACACGACACGACCTAGGTTAGTGATCAGCCGGTCACCGGGGACGGCTGAATCTAGGACTAGGAGTGCCGCCTGCCCTTTTCTGGACCTATCTTTGCCCTTTATACAAAGTCCGACTGTATCTGTGTCTATGCAGAGCATGATGGCCAGAACAAAAAAGACTGCCAGGATCTCAAACTCAGACGGCTCCTCCCACAGGGTGCCGATTAGTGAAACATCTGACCAGGCGCCAGATGTGGAAGTGAAACAAAGCGGCTTGAAAGCCGACAGTTCTGAGGGAGGAGTCAAAGTGACCCCTTCCCATTTTTCAGTTGACAATTCTACATTCTCTCCTGCTCCTTTTAAAGGAGAGGAGGCGGGCCCCTCCGGGAGAGGGGAGGAGTCGTCCTCTTCGGACTCGTCAGAGGACGATTCCGAGTCTAGCTCTTCTGGCCATGCTTCTCTGGACACAAAAGAGAAAAACAGTCGCCTACAAGAGGCGAGGCTTTCTCACGCAGTTGAGAAGGGGGACGATTGGGCGGAGCCATCCGCCTCTCACCGAGAGCAAAATACCCCCTACTACTGCACGGTACCTCGGGGCCGGATCACGGCCATGCAAGAGAAAGTGGAGAGCTTTATCGCAAACCACACAATGGGCCCCAACTTTTTAGTGTTCGTGCCGGATCCAGAAGACACAGTCGTCTGGCCGGCTGGTACCAGTTATGATGGCGCCTGCTTTGGCTGCTACGAGGCGGCCATCAAGGCTGGGCTGCGCTTCCCACTACATCCGGCTGTTCAGCGGATCTTGGATGGGTATGAGTTGGGGTTATGGCAGTTAGCCCCGAACTCCTGGGTCAACGTACTCGGCTATGTGGCCGGGTGCGAACTGCACGGGGTGGATCCGAACTTCGAGGCTTTCGCCCACATGAACTACCTCAGCCGGACCCCTAAGGCAGACGGTACCGGCTGGTATCAATTGACGAGCCACAGGGGCTACCTCGTGACGAGAGGTAAAGCAAACAAATGGAAGGACTGGCGGAGCACCTTCCTTATCATTGAGAGTTCAGACACAAAGCTGAACAAGCGCTTCAACAGGTGGAACAGGAATCCGCCCCTTCTTGCAGGCGGCCGCAGCATGCCGCCTGTTCCCCCCAAGGCTAAGAAAGAGATCCTAGATAAAGGACTCTTCAAAGTAGAGTCGAAGGTGAACTCTACTTCAGGGGTACGAGAGCAAGTACCCCTGCACTGCGTCCCGAGCTTCAAATGGCTCTACGACGAGTACTTTTTGGCCGCCTGTGGCCTCAGCAGTCGGTGCTCAAGAGGTAGCCGGCCTGTCGAATACTCTGTTGTTCCGTGCATTTCTTGTTATGACTTTTATTAACTTTGCTATTTGTTTTTGCAGCGGACGCCATGAGCAAAATTACCGCCTCCAAGACTGCGGCGGCCATGTTGCGGGCCTCCATCATGCAACAGTCTTCAACCGACTCCCCCAACAAGGGGGCACCCTTGGTGGGCTTCGAACCTTTCACTCTCTTTTTGGAGTTGTGTTTATGCATATACTGACTCTTTTCTTATTTTTTTAGACGGGCGCTCCAAGAGCTTCTTCTTCCCAACAGTCAGACCCCAAGGCCCGAAGGACGACTGTTGCGAGCTCTCCTGGTTCTGCCAGGAAACATGCGGCGGCTGAGAAACAGCCGGCCACTTCTTCTAAAACTCCAGCTGGGCCACCTAGAAGTATGAAATTGTCCTTGTAAATTTTAGACTTGCTCCCTCCTTTACTAGGTCTAATCCGTTTGTTTATGCTTGATGCAGCCGGCCCTCAGGAGCCTGACTTGGTCGAAGTGGCCAAGTCTATGATCAAGGCCGTACCTCCAGCTGAAAGGGAGGCGGTCAGGGGTGTCGGCACCCTTGACCTAGACGGGATTGCAGGGGTCCTTGCTGAGGTATACTTAGCATATTTTTGAGTATTTGAATTCCAGGACGCCTGTTTTCTTTTTTGTTTGGAAACTGACGCCTGTTCCCCTTTTTACTTAGGCCCTGCTCCGAGTGAACGGCCTTCGCAAGCCGCTTGAACGGAAGAACAAAGGGGTAAAGGCTGCAAAAGCTATGGCCGCCTCTGACTGTGATAAGGCAATGTTTCAAATTGCCCAAAATGAAGTTCTGACAATTGATATTCTTTATTATCAGGCGCAGGCTACCGCCGCTATCCGGGCTCAGTTAGAGGCGGCCCAGAAGAGGAATAGTGAGCTGGAGGCGACCATCAACAACCTCAAGACCGAGCTGAGACCTCTTCGCCAAAAGATGTCCTCATACGAAACCTTGGAGAAATCCTTGGCGAGCGTAAAGGAACGCCTGGTGACCCAGGAGAAGAGTCTTACTCAGGAGCTCTCTGAAAAGGCCGTGCAAGAAAAGAAAGAGCTGGTCCGGGAGATGATGGAAGACTCTGCTCAAATCCAGCGCATGACTTGGGGCCGCCTCTTCCCCAATGCCGACTTTGCCTCCTGGGAAAAAACGTACCGCCAGTGTTCTGATAGATATAATCAAGAGATCTTGGCGGCTGCTGAGGAAGAGGCGTTGGAGGAGGAGGAGCAGCCGGTAGTGGCGCTTGTGCCGCTTGGGGGTAATGCATCGAAGAAGGATGCAGCTGAAGCCGAGTCCAGCAAAAAGAGTGCTGACCAGGCGGCAGCTGCTAATATTGAAGATCTGCCCCCTTCATAAGCTTTATGTCTTCTTTCCCCGGCCTGCGTGCCGTTTGTTTGTATTTACCCGGCCAGGGGGGCGGGGCTCTGAATATTTTGTCGGTCTTTAATGACCGGCTTCCTTTTAATGAATATTTTTATTTTGCTTCAAATTTGTTTAAGTATTGAATATTCTGATATCCAATTGTACACTATACCGACTGTTTTACATGGCCGATAGTTGCAGACAGGTACGGATAGTTAGTCACGCCGCCTATGCCCCTGGACGACTGGTTGTCTGTTTCCAGGCTAGACGATCAGTCGGCCATTTATCCAATCGGTATTCGAACCATTTTAAAGACTGGATCCCCTTTAGGCAGGCGGTCCTTTCATTTGTAAAATTAACCAAGTAGGAAAGTGGTTTTCTACTTGTCATGTTTTTAGGCTAGAGACTTTAGGCCGTCTAGGCCGACCGTTCCCCGCCATATTTAATCTAGTGTGAACAGGTGCTGTATGAACACCTTTTTAATTTCATACTAAATTTTTAAGGAGTGACCAAGTAAACATAATTGTTACCTAGTCGCCAAGTAACTGAGTAGTAGAGGTATCAAGCGGTGGGTACCGGTTGTTCCCCTTTATTCGCCAATGTTTGTTGGCTTTTAACTCATAGGTTGTTAACCTAGCAGGAGTAGTGGTTGAGAGCCCCTGTTTGCTAAAACAGGCGGACGACTCATACCTTTTAGGCTCCATACTAAGTTTGAGAGAGTGACTATGAGTTAACTTTGGTGTTACTCAGTCGCCGTCACTCCTGCTTGAGTAGTAAAGGTACCAGGCGGCGGAGGCCGGCTGAACCTTTTGATTCGCCAATGTTTGTTGGCTATTAACTCAAGAGGTACCCCCTGCATTTATCCCAAGTAATACATGCGGTCATCTGACTCAGATGTGAACTGCTACCACTGGTTTGGTTAGTGATAAAGTTATCCTTGTCTCAAAAACGGCTACGTGGTTGCCC